TCATTTCTGTTCTGATGATTCGTGTGTGTTTAGTGAATTTCAGTTTGTGGTCTATTGTAATCCCAAGGTACCTTACGTCGTTTTTCGGTTGTGTTATTTTTCCTGCAGTTATTGTGGGGGAGTCAGCGTTGAGTCTGTGGTTCGTGAGCAGAAGTTGATTTTTTGTCGCGTTTGGCGTTAGTCTCCATTTATAGAACCATGTCATTGTGTTGTTTGTTAGTGTTTGGAGTCTTTCAGTCGCTTTTTCAGTAGTTTTGTCGTGTACAACAAGTGCCGTGTCGTCAGCGTATTGTAATATGTATGCCGTTCTGTCGATCTGATTTTTGTCTGGTAAGTTGTAATTGTTTAACAAATTTATTTTCCAGTTAATTTAAAGTTAGAATGTGGCTGCTGTGCAAAACATGCAAAAGTACTAGTTAAGTCATAACACGTATTTGCAACTTTCTATATTTAATTTAAAATTTTTATTTCAGAAAATTTTATGGAGGCCTTTTTAAAAAAGCAGTCTTTGTTGAGAGCCCAAATTGTGCAATCTTTATCAACAGAAGATCTTTTTCTGCACATGGGTGCGAATAAATTTAGTTTTCCGTTAGACGATGAACAAGATCTGGAAGTAAATCTTCAAATGTTTCTTCTGGATGAAACTAATTTTGATGTGACAGTAAGTTTTATTTGTAAATTGTAATAAATTAATAATGTTGATATATCTGCAATATAGATATCCAGAATTATTATTGTGTTGAATTTAGATTAGTTTACTGCAGAAGCACATTTACAGAAAGCTACTCTTAATGCTTTAATGTTAATAGTCCTGTGAGGGAAATATTTTTTAGGTAAACCACCTATTAAAAATTGGCGGAAGTACGCCTTATGAGTTTGTTAAGCACTGCTTAACGAATTTAATAACCAATCGTTTGGCTCAAAAATATACATTTTTTGGTTCCCAAACAAAATCGGCTCTCAGCCAATTTAAGTTTTCGAACTTATTGAATAGTAAGTTGATTATTTATTCAGTGATTTTGTAACTGTAGAGTATACTTACAATTGATTTGCTAAAACCTTTATTTAAATCTTTTAATATTACTTATGCAAATTGTAATATTTTTGTTGCTACTAAGCTAAGAGATACGTTTTCAGCTGCAGCGACTCAACAAAATCCTGAGGTCACCACGAAAATGACCGAAAAAAACCTCCAGAATGGGTTGAGGCAAGCGAATGAGCGCCTAAA